GGGGGGGGGGAGTTAAAGCAGAAAATTACACTTCCCAGGAGGCTGGCTTCTTCCAGCCAAGGAGAGGACAGGAGAAAGGTGAGGGGGTCAGAGTTGGACACCAGCATGCACACACATGCACATGTGCACACGTCTACACGCACATAATACCTGGACGCCCTTCCTCTGGAGTCCAGTCTGGTGCCATGAGTATGAGTGTGTGTGTGTGTGTGTGTGTCTGTCTGTCTGTCACTGGCAGAAAGCTCACAGGTGGGGGACCCCTGTGACAGGAACCAGAGCCTAGACTGGGCACTTGTGCATGGCAGCTCAGCTTCCCATCCAGGGCAGGTGGAAGGGGACAGTGACCACAACTGCCCCAGGTCATGGAGGGCAGGTATGATAAGAGCTGGTGGGGAGGGAGGCTTTGGGGGCACTAACCTAGATTATCTCCACTTCCCAAGGCTGGGAGGGAGCAAAAGCAACCTGAGCCTGGGACAGCCCAGCTGCCTGGCCTGGGAAGGACAGCTTGTCTAACCCCACCCCTGGATATATCTCCCAGAGCCCCAGAAGCTGGAATGAGGCTGGGAAGGTGGAGGAAAGATGGCAGGTCTTCAGCCATCCAAGGAGCCGCTGCCCTTGTTCTTGCGGCTGAGGGGGAAAGCAGACTTGCTCTGGGGCTGGGTCATCTTGCTGGCCAGGTAGACGAAGGGCTCCAGCAGAGAGCGGCGGTCAGCCACAGATACCTCCCACAGCTTCACCTTCTCGGACTTGGCCCAGTGCTGAGCCACGTCTGGGTCTACACGCCGCTGCTCCTGTAGGTCACACTTGTTGCCAAGGACCACGATGGTGACCTGGGGAAGAGGGACAGAGTAGAGGCCTGAGGATGTACCATGGGCCTCAGAGTTGGGTGTGAAGGTTGGCAACGACCTAGAAGTCCTAACAGAAGAAAACGTCTCAACAGCTAACGTTTTGCCTCTTCTTATATAGGAAACAATGACTGGGGAGAGGGAGATGGTTGCTTTTTATTCTCCTTCCTCTGTTTAAGTTCTACCCTCCATCTGGCCCTCCCTCCAGGAGTTCTCTTATAAGCCCTGTGTCACCCGTGCCTGCTCATTACGAGCAACCAGTCTGTTTCTGGCTAAACAACTGGTGAGGGAACATTCCCCAAACACCTGCAGCTTAAAGGGGGATTTGGGAACAGAAGGATAAGAGCAAAGAACCATCATAAAGAAAGATTAGTGGGGGCTCCCAAAGTTAGGTCAGAAACCTCTAAAACTAAAGGAAAGCCCCTTTGGTTGAGCTGCCTCAACATACAGCCACCTGTAGGGGTGAAGACACCCTCCAGTGGCCTCCATCCCTCCTCTAGCTCCTACCCTACCTCCTGGGATATGAATGAAAAACAGCCATGCCAGGTTCCCCAGAGCCAGCCCAGGGCCCACTCTTTCTCCTAACCCCACCCGTGGATATGTCTTTCAGAGCCCCAGAAGCTGGAATGAGGCTGGAAAGGTGGAGAAGGGATCCCCACACACACCTCCTTCTTGTCCTTGGATTTGTCGATCTCCTTCTTGAGCAGCTCTACACGCTGAAAGGACTCTCGGCTATCCGTGCTGTAGACCAGGACATAGCCATCAGTGCAGGAGAAGCAGTGCCGGGGTAGCTCGGCCCCATCCCGGAGCCCCCGGGTGTCGTAGAAACGCACCTGCTCCCGCACCCCCCGGTCGGTCTCAATGGAGCCCACGTAGATGTCTTCCTGTGTCTCAATCATCTCAGAACCTGGGGCAAAATGAGGAAAAAACTTGTTTGTAGAAAGAAGGAAGATGGGAAACGTGGGTGACTGAGTATACCCTAACAGGCCAATCAGCCAGGGAAGGAAAGGAATGGGGGGCTGGGGACAGAGGGCCAGGGACTGACAGGCAGGACTGGATGACTTGGGGAACAGCATGGATCTCATGCTAACGCCATACTAAGCAAAAGTGTGACCTGAGAGCTTTTCCTTGCTATCTCAAATATTGGGTTTCCTCTTTCCAGATTTCAATATGCTGGGGTTAAGGTCGTTATGTAGATTTCACTCTTTGGGGGTACAATAACCATCAGCAGCAGCTTTTAGCCTTTTCATGTTATGATCACATCCTACTTATTCTTCCACCATGTCCCTACCCTCAACAACACTCACCTACTACATGGTTCCCATATAGAAGCTGCTCCAGGATTGAAGTTTTGCCCACAGATGCTTGACCACACACGACCACCTTGCAGCTCTTCCCCATGCTTAGCCTTCTGCCTTGAAGAACAGAAGCACACTGGGTGAGGTGGGATGAAAACAGAGGGCAGATCTCCTATAACTGAGGGCCAGGTTCTGAACCTCAGAACTTCAGGGATTCAGCACTGTCTGTCCCCTACTGTGGTCAGGGTGTATTGGAGTGATGTGTCTCCGTCCGCTACTGGACAGTGGGCTGTACTTTACTCATCTTTGTCATTCCAAGCACCTGATCAGTAACTGGCTCAGAGCAGGTTTTCAGTAATTGTTGCCATAAAGGGGAAAGAGAGTCTTTGGTTTCAAGGAACCACTGGCCGGGTTCCTTTCTGTGCACAGGATGTGGAAGACCAGTAGCTGAAGGGAGCTCCACTCAGCTTCCTGTCTTGAGCCATGCCTCCATGGAGAAATAAACAAGAATGCTATATTGTGTGGATTGGTCTTAAGCCGCTCTTCGTCTGGAGAGCGAGCTAATGAGAATGGGATTTTGCTTTCCTGTATGATTCATCTGGACAATTAATTCCCTCTAATTCCCAGTCAAGTCCATGGCTAAGATGAAGAACATCACACAAGAAAGAGTGAAAGAATCTAAGGGGAAAAGGAGAAAATCTGTGATGCCCTTGAACTCATAAGCCAAAATGAGGCTTAGACACAGAAACCTCCCGGACAGAGATCTCGTCGAAGGCATTCCAAACACAAGCTTCCCAGAAGAAACCCCAGACAAGGATTGCCTCAGAGAGCAGATACAGAGGGCACTCCCAAGAGGTGTCTTAAACAGAGACCTCTCGAGTAAACTCCCGATATAGACCCCCTCCCCGCTCGGGGCCCAAATAGTGGGCCCCACAATGAAAGGATACCCCAAGTGAGACTGCTAGAGGGGCTTCCGCCACCGATTTACCCCCGAGGGGACCCCTAGAGGGAATCGGAGGCAGAGACCCGCCACCTAAAGCGGCCCGGATGCGGTGACCGACCCTGGCCTGCCACCTCCGTACCTCCCGGAGCCCTCGCAGCACCCCGGCTGGGCCCCTCCAGGCGCGCCGGGACCAGGGGAGGGGCAGCACAGCCACAAGCACTCCGCTTTTCCTCCCGGGTCGTTCCAGGCTCCGTCTGGCCCCGCCCCCCAGCTTCCGTCCTTCAAGGACCAATTCCGGCTGCAGCTTGCAGGAGCCGGGCACACAGCTCCCCCAGAGGCAGGAAGGGAGAATGACGGGGAGAAAGCCGGCACCAGGGCTGGCTGCACACGTGAGCACAAGGTTCTAGGCAACTTGGACACAGGGGGCTGGTGTCTCTAATGCCCAAAAGTTCTTTCTCTAAAGGCTACCATAGTGCAGTAACGCTTCATTTATTCAATCGTTTATTAGTCAGATGTCTTCTGAGCAGCTACTCTGTGCCAGGTATAAAACCACATGCTGAGAAAAAATGTAATTAGACAAGGTAGCTGCTCATGAGAACATCACCGTCTAGAGGAGCTAGATATCTACAGGGCAGCATGGTAAAAACTATTTTGGAGGTGCTATGGGAGCACAGCAAAAAAACATTGGACTTCAGGGACAGTGGGCATCACAGAAAACTTCCTGGAGGAGGTTATGTCTGTTTTGAGATTTGAAGGGTCTGGGAGGAAAGAGTGGAGGAAACATGGCAAAAGTCATGGCATTTTTCTGGAACTACAAGTGTTTTGGTTTAATATTGTTGGTGGAAAGGAGGCAAATAATCGAAGACCTTGTGTGTTAGGTCAAAGAGTTCAAACTGTATCCTAACAGCAGTGGAAAGCCATTGATAGGTTTTATGCCAGTGAAGTGACATGATCATTTTTGCTTTTAGGAAGGTCATTGGCAGAAGAGTAAAGAATGGAGATGAGACAAGGGGCCAGTTAGGAGACTATGGTAGTATTCCAAGTTTTAAAAATAAAAATGAGGAGAGCCTGATTGGTATAGAATGGAAACAGATAGATTTGGAAGACATTTGGTAGGAAAATCAACAAGATTTGGTGATAAATTGGGAGTCAGGAGTGAGAAAGGGGGCGTTCATGATGTCTCCTATCTTTCTAATTCGGTGACCAATTGGTGAACCCACTTGACAAGATAAGGAATTCAGGAAAAGAGAAATAACTAAAGCATTTGTTGTTGTTGTTGAGGAATGAGAGAATGACAAACTTGACTTAAATATAAATGTCTCCAGGATTTGTGAAACATACAAGACATCCAGTAGATAATTGGATATAGAGATCTAGAACTCACAAGTGAGAGGTCTAGGTTGGAAATATCGACAAAGCTGAGGGTCATCTACAGCTCAAATGAAAGCTATGGGAGTAAATGAATTGGCTTAGATGCAAAGAACACACAGTGGGAAGATGGTCCACAGACAGGTTGGCTTCCTGCATCAGACCATAGATTGTGACGCATTGGCAGGCAGGGCAGGTGGTCTGTGAATATCCGCCCAATCTAGCACACTCCCCAAGTAGGCCATTTGGAGAGACTAGTGAATGATTGGCTGGCTGAATGACTTCTCTCTTCCCACCCACTGAGCCTCTCCCAACCTTCTCTAGCCAGTGGTGGGTGTGGTTTCTGCTCCCTTAGCACTGCCATAGGCAGAGGCCTTTCAAGAAGCCTACTGAGGATGACACTATTTTACTGGAGGAAAGGAGTAGATCCTTTCCAAATTCACTTGTCCCCTTCTTTAGTTCTCAATTAAAAAGTTTTAACCTCAAACTCCTCCAATTTAATTTAACCTCAGAAAACCCCGGTTTTATTCAAACCCACGAATACTATTGGTTCGAGTTCCCAGTCCAGACTGCATTTGGCAAAACAAGCGTGCCGAGCAGGGTGTTTCCATAAAGGGTGAGTACTGGGGACACTATGGAGCAGGGACCTCACCCTGAGAGCTGCCTTATAAACTCCAGGGCAGGGTCTGGGGCGCCGTGCCACCCTTCCTAGGCTTAATGCTGAGATGGCACTCCCAGGCAGCTGACATGAAAGCAGCCTCATTAAAGGGTCAGCGTCATTAGGGTGATGAACCAGTTGTTGCTTGGAGATCCAGTGGGGATGAAAGGCGCGGGGTGAAGACGCCCTGCGTTCCCCTGGCTTGGTTGGGCAGGGCTTCCAAGGGCCGATGAAAGCTAGGGGAACTGGGCTCAAAGTGTCTCTTCTTGCCTTTCCCGGTAGGAAGCTGTGAACACACTCCAAGGTCAGGAAGGTAGTAGTAGGGGCTCTTTCCCTCCAGAGTCCTGGGTCACCGAGTCCCGAACCCAACCCAGACGCTCCTGAACCTTACTGGAGACTCTCTAGGATTGGAAGTTGCTATGGCAACGAGGCTCTCAGAATACTGAGAAGAGCTCAGGCCTAGAGAGGCATCACCCTCTTGTACCCCTCACTTCCGACGCACGGGTAAAGTGGCGCCTCCTACGCACAGGAACCGTCCCTGGGCCACCGGCCCGGCACGGAGACCACCGTGGACCTCCGGAGGCGGGAGGCCTCTCTGGCCCCAAGCGGAGCCTCTCGATGGTAGACGGGCCCGAGGGAGCCCCTCTGGGCGCAACGCCGCCGAGCGGCTCGATGCTCCAGCCGGAAGTGCTCTTCACCGCCTGCCTCCCACCCGCCTCTTTGGTCCCGGCGGTAAGATGGCGGCTGCCGCGGAGTGCGATGTGGTAATGGCGGCGACCGAGCCAGAGCTGCTCGACGACGAGGAAGCAAAGAGGTAACCGGGTAGCAGGGTAGTGGAAGGGGCGAGCTTCAGCTCCGTGGCCCCGGGAAACCCGTCCCTTCCGTGATGCAGCCCGTGTTGAGGCGACGCCCCGCCCTCCGCGACCCCCCCCCCCCCCATCTGAGATAAGTCCGGATGGACCCCCTGAAGGGGCGCTCCCGGAGGTCGGCCCTCCCCTCCTGCTTCCGCCTGGCTGGAGAGCTGAGGCACGGCCTGGTTCTCCAAGCAGGGAGCAATGTCGCCCTTAGTGTAGAGGCCGGGTCTCGGAGGGGACCTCAGAGGTCTGTTGTGGGGTGGGGGAGGCTGCGCGGCGACGATGACGACTTCCTTACATCGCCCCCGACCCCCGCCTGCTCTTGTTAACTTCTGTGCATTGTTGTCTATCAGCACTTTGCATCTCCGAAGCCCGTGTTCTCCTCACCCCCTCTCGTCAGTAATGTATCCCAGCGACCACGAGCCTAGGTCCGAGCGTGTCTCCATTATTGACCTGGTGCCCCCTCCCCGTACCCCAGAAATCGGAGATGAGAGAGAAAGAAGGAAGAGTGAGGGGTTTGTCTCATGCTCTACACGTCAAACTCGGGCCCTTCCGTCCTTCCGGAGTAAGATCCTCATTCTTCCCAGGACTGTTCTTTCTTAAGTTAAGCAGCAGAGAGGAAGGCAACTGCTTGGGCGCTTTTGGCACCGCTGGGCCGCCGCAGTGGCTCGAGATTGCCAGTCTGGACTAGCCAAGGGAGCTGCTGAGTGAGTGGTTTTCGAGAACACTCTGGATTCTGGCTACGGCTAAGGCAGGTTATTGGAACACAGTTGTGGGTAGTCATACTTGTCCTAATCCTGAAGGAGAATTAACGAAATGGTTCTGGAAGCGCGGGGCCCTTTCCTTATCAACTGCAGCTTAATTGACTACGGTGCCCTCAGTCTCCTTCCCTTGTCTTTCTTATCTTTGTACCAAACCCTGTCTGTATGGCTTCATTCTGGCTGCCTGAGATCTGAAACCAGGGTTCTGAGGATTTTTTATTATCCAAGTTAAAATACGGGGAGGTACTCAGGGTGGCAGAATGAATAGTTCTCAAGCTTCAGGGTAGTTTACTGCAGCCTGTGTCTCAAGGTCTGTTGAGAACTGAGAGGCTTGACACAGTGTTGTAGTAAGTCCTTGGGACGATCAGAGAAGGCAGGACACCAGAGTCTAGTCTCTTTCTCTTCCTGGTTTTGAGTTTTCACAGCGTACCTATTTCTCAGGTGTTGAGGATTAGGCATCATTAAGGAACTACACAACGGGAAACAACCGCCCCCTCCCTCTCCCGTACATACCGAGCTTACGTTAATTGCAAGGATTTACTTTACTTGGGATTGTGAAGAATTCACTGGGTTTTTTTTTTTTTTTTTTTTTTTTTTTTTTTTTTTTTTTTTTTTTTGGTGCTATAGAGACTTGGGTTATGTGTAGTAATTTGAAAAAAACCTTCTCTTACATAATATAGATCTCTGATGTAGGGACTGTCCCTAATTTGGGTTTTACTTCAAAGCCCTCTATCTGAAGCAGGTCCTTTTCCTTAAAAAACAAAAACAAAAACAAAACAAAAACAACACACAGCCTTAGAGGATATTCTAACATAAAATTATAGTAAATGAACCTGAAGATACATTAAGAAACACAAAATGGGTGATGCTGTAATGTGACCACATCACACAAAAACATGGTATTTGATAGAAGAGGTGTCAATGTAGGTTAACTGCCTTATTACATGGAATTTAAGATGTCATCGATTGTAAAACGCACAGTTGTTTTATCTGCCACTAAGAAAAGATACATCCTTGCTAAATAGACTTCCATGTTACACATATTTATATGCTCTCTTTTAGATACGGCTAAAAATGGATATTTATATCACTTATGTGAGCCAATCAAAAGGAAAGTATAGTGAAATTAAAAAATTACAGTTTGACTTTCTGCCATATAAGGCATCCTTGGAGAGTAAGTAAGCACTGGAATCCAAGGAAAAAACCATGTTATGTATGGTTTTCCAATGCTGAAAATGGAGTGATGATGTAGAAGTTTTGGAGGAAGGTGGTTTTACATTTTTCATGTGTCCTGGAATCCTGTGTACCCATAGCAGAAGGCAGGGATAGTAACATCCCTTACAGATGCCCTTTACTATCTGGCTTGGTTAGTCATTTGGCCAAGTTTGTGTCTCTTATTACAGTTCACTTGGGGACACCGGAGTTGATGGGTCTCTTGGGTTGTTTTTGTGAAGTCCAGCAAGGAATCCTTCCTTCTGTGCATCTTGGTTCAAGGGCTTGCTGCTGCTGCTAAATTGTTATGGTCCCACAGCGGCAAAACGAGAGGAGCTTTCAAGACTTGGGGCCTCATGGTTGCAGCATTTTAAAGGGCTACATGTTTTATTTCATTAACTAGTGTCTCTAGAGAGAAAAGAAATGTACTTCAATTTTTTTTTGCTTGTCACTCTGACAGAGTTCTTTTTCCTCTATAGCAGCTGAGAGGCTAAAATAAAAGATGTATTAGTTGGCATCCAAAATAGATCAGGGTTCTGAACATGAAGATTATTTGTTTCTCTTTGCCCACCAAAACAGATAAAGCTACTTGGGGAGCCAGAGAGCTAAATTTCAGAGGTTTTACAATTCAGCTAATTTAATTTAATTTCAAGCCTTACATTTTCCTGGGAAGATGCTGATTGCTTTATGTAATGTATGAATACCGGTCTTGAATGAAGGCTGTCTGGTCACATTTCCTGGGCTGGGGAGGTCACCGTAGGTAGTCTTTATTATGGTAATATCGAAGGATTTCAAGTTGTTCCTCCACAGAGGAAACACTTCTGTGTCTCAGCGTATATCAGGCATGACTGGACAGTAGGGTCTAAAAGAAAACAGAAGCCATAGATTTAGAAGACAGAACATCCTTTTCTGATTCTTTGATAATCTTTTCCATATCTGTGTGAATGCACGCAAGAACATTAGGTCCCTTCTTAGTATCCAGGATTGTAAGCTCTGTAGAGTTTGCTTTTTATTTCTCTTCCTATTGCTGCTGGGAAGCACTGAACCCTGAATCCATATCCCAGGGTCTGCAGTAGGTGCTATTTATTTTACTACAGATTCCTGGCACATTTTGGTGTTTGTGGCCATAGCCGAAGAGCTTGTAGCTTTCGTTGTCTTCCCAGCTCTTCTTCCTCACTTTGTTTTAAATTCTTAGACATTTGTCTCTCTAAACTTTGTCTTCAAGGTCATGAAATGAAGCTAGACGTTGCAGTAAGCTTGCAAGCTGAATGGGATATTATCTTTGACCTTAAACCCAAATCAGTGAAAACAGTGTTTGCAGCCTTCATTTTCATTTTAGTATACTCTTAAGTGCGGGGTCAGTGGTGAAGAAATGAGAGGCGGGACAAATAAGTCATGGTTAAGGAACGGATAAACCTAGGAATACAGAATCCCAAACCACCAAATTAATTGAATCTGATTTTAACAAGTGGCAAAATTGTTAAATCAGGGGCACGTGGCTGGCTCAGTGTCACTTTTGATCTCAGGGTCGAGTTCAGGCCCTACATTGGGTATAGAGATTACTTAAAAATAAAATCTTTGAAAAAAATTGTTAAGTCATAACTAGAGCAAAGGTAGAGCACAGAGGAAGGGTCTCTCTGTCCTTGCTGCTTTAATTCAGGTCCACATACTAACCAGAACCAGATACCAACCAAATTGAGCCAAGTTGAGTGGCAGTTGCTCTAGTGTCTAGTCCCGTCCAACGACCTTAACTCTGATTGGCTTAAAACCCAGGCTTTTTGAACATTCTAGCCAATCAGGGATGAGTGTAGTCATCGAAGCTAGTATTTTAAAAGTTTTTAAAAGCTGAGTACTGGGCACTTGCCTTTGCTTTTTTTCTCTAGGACTTTAGAAGATTGGAGAACAATGGTCAGCGGCTGCCTAGGTGCCTTGTGGTCTGATGCGCAGTCCCTCTGAGAGCCCATTTCTCCCTTACTCCACTAATGTTTGGTCCCTTTTCTTCAGTGCTGAGTGATGTGGAAGTTACTTAGAGGTCGTTCCAGGTATTCTTTTAAACTGTCTGAATTTCAGCAGTAAGACCGGATTCGTCGTGCAAATTATCTCAGTGTTTATTCATTTTATTGGATTGACAATTTGTTTTCTTCCCCATCCAGATCAAAATAACAGTTCCTCTGTTTTATCCCACCATTGGCAGGGGGATGAATGTTTGAGGCTTTTGAGAATGAAAATATGAGGAGGAATATTTGACTTTCAAAGTCTAATTCTGACACCTAATATTCTGGTGTTGTGTGACTTAAAGTTTTTGTGGGGAAGCTAGATTGTCAGATCAACAAAGTGTTAACCATTTCTTCTGATTCTGTTGTTAGCCTTTGGGGGACGGGTGTATGAGGCAAGCAGCATTTTCTCTTGTTTTTGGTCTGTCCTGAGTTTTTCCTCTGGCAGTTGGAGATAGTCAACCTCCTGTTAAAATAAGGAACCAAGAGAACTCTGGAAGCAACATACCAGTTGACAACCTAGACTCCGCACTCTGGTTTTCATCTCTACCCACTCACTCCCTCCCCTCCCCCCAAGAAAAAAACCTCAGCAGCTTTTTTCTTAATTATAGTTCCTAAGTTCTAGATTTTTGTTGTGTACTAATGTCCCCATGAGGGAAGTAGTGGATCTCACAGAATGGGGAACCAAGGGATAGAAAATGGTGGGTTTGGGAGTGTGTTATGAAAACAAGCCTCTGGCTATTGCTGAAAGGCCAATGCCATGTGGACTCAAGAGTGGCTTCTGAGAAGCTTGTTTCCCCAGGTCTCCTCTCCCCCGGAGTAAAGAAGATTAGGTAGATGCCACAGATTGTGATACCTCCCATTTAGGGAACTAGCATAAATGTATTACGGTTGAGTCAGCTATTTCATATGACTATCTTTTCTGCCTGCATTAATGGGATTTCCGTCTGGATGGATCCATTAGTTGGTTGCCTTCCCCCCCCCCCCCCACTG